CCTACCCTAAAGTCGAAAGTCCTGCATCCCTCCTTTCCTACAACTTGAGCCCCAGACAACTGCGTTGGGGCTTTGGGTTTAGGCTCAACAACGTCATCATAGCCATCGTGTCATAGTCAACAACATCATCATCAGCATCATCACCAATGCATAACCCAAATTTCAATATTATGTCCTCATCATCGTTATCCCTATATCCGTACTCATAACCATAGCGTGACATTCAGCATCGCCAGCATCATTCTCCATCCTCCTCCTCCTCCTCCTCCTCCTCCTGCTCCTCCTGCTCCTCCTCCTGCTCCTCCTCCTGCTCAGCATCCTCGTCGTCCTCGTCACCGTCATTTTCGTCATCACCATCACCATCACCATCATCATTTCCAAGGTCTTCGAGGTGACTTGCCGATTGTAAGCTTGCCTGCGGCAGCATCCTCTTCCACACCGGAGCCGATTCAGGCGGGAGGGCTTCCATTCAGGGTTTGGGAGTTTCCGAAAATTGGGAGGCACCTTATTTTGGGGTCCGCATCATAAGCATCCCTCTATTTAGGGTACTATAGTAGGGTCCCCCATTTTCGGATCCTCCGGTTCAGGGCTCGGAAATGTAGCGGGCGTTGGATTGGAGATGCGCGGCTTGCGGTCCGGAGGAACCAGAAAGACCGGGAGTCAGACCTGTTGTGGAGGATCTCCGGTGCGCGATGAGGGCTGTCGCAATTTAGGAGTTTCGTGGAACAAATTTGTCAACTGGTTCCCTGACTTCCTTAGAACCCGAACGGCTGTTTGGCATCTTATACTATAGAGGCCTTTATGCGTAGAATAGGGTTCCTTTAGAGGGGTCTACATGGGATCTATCAGGGTACCGTACTATAGGGGTCTTAACAGTTAGAATAGGGATCAGGGGTATATTATACTGTAGTTACATATAATAAGGAGCCCCAACACTACTGCTCTAGTTCAATATTCGATCTGTGGCTGTCTCAATTTAATATATGTGTCTGAACAAGTTCTCATACTGTACCATTGATGAGTTGGGTTCCTTGCTAGACGTGTAATTACTAGTCCTATTCCGGTAAACCAGGCACGCGTTATGATGTTTGAGCAGGCTTGCATTTCGGAGTGTCGGAGGTTTGATCTCTGATAAGACTTGCTTGGGGAGCGAGTATAGCACCCGCGAAGCCCCGAAGCCTAAACTGATCCGTACAGTCGTCCGGTCAAGCATCAAGGTATCGGTCCTAGGCGGTTCCCAAAGCAGGATCGAGTTGGTGCTGATGGTGATGAGGACGGTCAGGGTTATGGCTATCGCGACTGCAGCTGTAGAGTTGCTGCTGATTCATCACCGTCATCGTCATCGTGATCATGAGTGTTGTCATCGTGGTTGTAAGCTCTAAAGTCCGAAGTACCTCTTCTATGATCCTTGCTTGGAATTACTTCTTAAGCTTTCTCTGTTTCTCATCTTTTGGGGGTTCCACCCTGTTCTAACCTGGCCCGCCTGGCAGCTTGTATTGCGCAGGCACAGGAGGTGCAGGAGATGGTGCAAGAGCTTCAGCTGCAATTGACATGGCCTTTGCTGTGGGAATGCCATATCCAAGACGACTTCTTTCAGCTCTTCATTATCGCCACTGACAGCATCACAGCTTTGCCTTTTACGGCTACCACTCATTGCCTGCACCTCCTCTTCCTCCTCCTGCACTGTTTCTACAACTACTACAGCTACTACCACCACGACTACGATCGCTGCTAGTGCTATGGCTAGCTCCTGCTACTGCGACGGCTACGGCTAGACTAAGGCTACTGGTACTGCCACGACCACCACCACCACCGCCACCACCACCACCACGACTACGATTGCGAACACGACGACCACTACCACCAGCGCTTCGCCACCACGGCTCCCACTGCTACTAGCGTGGTTGCGGTCACAATCGCCACCAGCACCAACACCTTCGTCTAGTCGTGCGGTAGTTTTCTTTGGTAGTGTCTGGCGGTCCACAAACATTTCCATCAGAAAGGGATATTGCTCAGTCCTGGTTGATGCCTGACAGCGTTGATCAGCTGTTGATGATTCCGTCCTTGCTTGGGCCACCCAGGCCTCGTCGTCCTTAGCCCTGTGCAACGCTCATGGTTTTTACAGTTACGCTAAGGGTCCAAGTACCCAATTATCATGATAGTAACCTAGGTAACTACTGTCCCATACCCGCGTAACCAATTATTGGGTCCGTTGGACACTCAGGGTTACTTCATGGCTTCATGTGATGAAGGCCTGGAATGCAACGGCGAAGAGCTTGGATGCAACGGCGAAGAGCTTGGTCGAGGAGTTGTGTGTGGGTGGGCGTGTCTTGGTTATTGAAATCCATGGTGAATGGAATTTCTCTAAGGGCCGTCAGCATACGACAATCATAATTATCATAATTAATATAAGGATCCTCCAAGATGGTATTGTTCTGTGCCCTTATATTACGTCAGGAGGCTGTTGTTGACCACCGGGTTGTTCGAACCGAAGGTGTAATCGAGTTGCTGTCCAAAGGTTGGCTCGTTTAGGGAGCTGCTAAGAGCTGCTTTTCCAGGGTCACGGGTTTCGGTCTCTCTACTACGAGTCATGATGGCATCAACTGTGAAGTTGCGTAGACGCATGACTACGTGGCATTCCATGTACTACCCCTCCAAGATTGGATGAACAAAGCCAACATAGGTGTCCCCCGGTGATAGGCCTGGTCCACGCCATCGAGCTGGATGCTGCTGATGGCACTAGAACCCTCCAAGTAGTCTTCCCTTACGGTTTCTGGCACCTAAAGAGGCCTAAAAGTCCTACAATACAGAGTACTTGGATCCTCTGGGGATGCTAAAGTTAAAGGCGCGGTATCCGCTATCCGCGGGGCGAAAGAATTGCTACTGCTATGCGTCTGGTACTGCAACCTTTTTATCATCACATCCTGGGTTATAGGGCTGCAGCTCATGGCACCATGTGTGCCGAACCTTTGTCAAGGCTTTAGCTTCTGAGGTGTTTGGATTTGACGAGCAGGCTTGAGAACTCAGGCACATGTGTAATTATGCAAAGCGTTGGTTGGTGGAGACATGAAGGGAAGCAAGACTAAAAGGTTGCCGATGCGTTGGGGGGACTCTCTACTTGTAGCCTGTATTCACAGCCCACGGCCCGTGTTCATCTGCTATGTAAACCCTGAGTGGGCAATCCGCTCGAGCACGTGTAGGAGGTGGGAACTTCGATGCTGAAGTTATCCCTAGTTCCCAAGCCATACACCCTAAACTCTAATTAAATCCAGCACCTTCGATCCGAATGCCAAAAAACCCTACACCCCGCCCTAGATCCGAAGCCTTCCTACGCCCTGACCAGTGTTTCGAGCCAGGAGGAAACGGATCTGCTTTCCAGCTGGCATCCGAAGCCAGATCATTCAAAGGCCGTTCCCAACCCAGGCCAGTTTGGGAGTACTACGCCCTTCCTAACCCTACTTCAGGCTCTCTTAAATGGGACCTTATTGAAAGGGGCCGTATCCCCAAGGGTCCTCAAATGTGCAGCGCGTTACGGGGCCATTAGCCTTTCCGTACGCAGCCCCACGAAGGCCAGGGGTTCGGATCTACGGTTCAGGGTTTCAGGATTCGGTGTACAAGGGGAAGGGAGGTTGTCGAATATGCAAACCGCAAACTAGTTCATCGTATCATTTATTTCGTTGTGCTCTTTTTTCCAGAAATGCAGCAGAATCTGCCTCACCATCCTTTTCGACCTATCAAGGCTCCTATATCAGTAGAGGTCTCCTTTCTCGCACACCTTCTGGAACCTTGAAAGGGAGTCTACCCAGAGGCCCCAAAGTAGTTCCTTTTGGGATTAGCCTGTAGGATTCTTTATATGAGCCCCTTAAAAAGGAACTACTTTGGGGCCTGGGGGTAATAATCCAGGCCCCTACTTGGAGGATCATGGGATTTAGTAAGTAAGGTTATAAGTACCCTAATTGGGGTTATAAGTATAGTTACCCTAATTATAACCCTAGTTACTAAGTCCCATGATCCTTTAAGTAGACCCTAAACCCTAAACCCTATAGATCCCTTTAAGGAACCCTTATAGATCCCTTTAAGGAGCCCTTTAAGGAACCCTAGTTACTAAGTCCCATGATCCTTTAAGTACATTAATGGTGTTAAGGGGTTTGGAACTTCAGGCTTTTAGTCTTCTGGGGTTTCCGATTACAGTCAACCGTATAGCGGTTTAGGGTTTAGGGTTTAGGGTTTAGGGCATATCCTTTGGGGCCCCGATATCTACTAAGAACCTGCGATATTGGTACTTGGACCCTTCGGGTACTCAAGAACAGGCACGGAAGGGCATGCGCACATGGGGACTCGCATTGTCATCAGCGTGAAGGATTTAGGATCCGTGGTTTGAGGGTACAGGGTTTCAGATTTTAGGGTTTACGGCTTAAAGCTACTTGCCTCCCGGCTGGTTCGTGCACTAGTGCGACCTTGTGGAAATCAGTTGTCCATTCATGCATCCTAAACCCTTAAACCCTTAAACCCTAAACCCTAAACCCCTAAACCCTAAACCCTAAACCCTTAAACCCAAAACCCCTAAACCCCTAAAGCCGCAAACCTTTCTGTCGTGACGGAGCCCTAAGACCCCAAAGCCGAGCTGTATCCTTAGCATTTGGATTTAGGGTTTAGGGTTTAGGGTTTAGGGCTTAGGGTTTAGGGTTTAGGGTTTATAGGGTTTAGGGTTTAGGGTTTATAGTTTATAGGGTTTAGGGTTTAGGGCTTAGGGCACCTGAGCTCGACACTAGCCCGAGAAGCGTTTTTGGTTAGGCTCTTGGATGCACTTTTGGGGTGAAGGTAGTGATCTTGAGCATGAACCAGCAACGAAGCGCTTCAGACTTGCTCAACACAACTGCAAGGTTTGGTATTGAGTACCTACCCTACAACCCTAAACCCGACACCCTTAACCCTAAACCCTAGTAACCCGGACGCCTTGTGCCGGGATCCCAGTCCCACAACATATCTTCCTTTGCCAGGCCTTGAGCATGACGACGACACGATTCCGGCCGCTTCCGTCTCTCACCCTTTATGGTTTAGAGTTTATGGTTTACCTTAATCCCCAATGACCTGCCTTTTGAAGGACACACATGAGAAAATCATAGTTGAGGATGCCTTATACAAAAAGAAGTTATCAAATTGAGGAGCCCCCAAATCCTAAACCCTAAACCCCCAAGTCCTAAACCCTAAACCCGCAAATCCTAAACCTTCAACTCCCAAATCCCAAACCCGCAAACCGTTCAGTGTTGTCTTTGTCAACTGCTGCTACCTGTGAGTTCATGGAGATGCACCAAAACCCAACTTCGCAGAAGGGTTGTAATAATTAAATTAGATACAGAACCACTGGCAGCCTCCGCCTGCTTGTGGTGCTTCATGCCTCATAAAGGGGTCTGCTGGAGCACGGGCTCGGACGCGGGCGCAGAAACCCAGCGCGAAAGAAAACAACCGCCTTGAAGCTGCGCGAGCAGAAAGGGAGGAAGCTCGACAAGATCGAGAAAGAGCAGAGGCACTCTTTGCCGCGGCGTCGGCTGCTTCCTCTGCGAGCGCTTCATATGGGTGGTTGTCAAAATTATGGTCCCATTTTGGGTCCTTATTATAATACGGCACCTAATATTTAGGGTACCCACAAAGGGACCTCAATTTTGACAACTACCCATATGGCTCTGGCCTGCCCGCTTGCGACGCATAGTGGACTTTTTTGGACCTGCTGACGAAAAACCCAACATGGGGCGAGTCCAAAAATTAGGGGTACCTTTAAAGTAAACGCCAGAAAGTTGGAATATGATTATCCGAAGCCCTACATGGTAAATTATAAGGTATCCTACCCTGAAACCATATGCCAACTTTCTGGCTTTTACTTTAAAGGGATCCTTTAAGGGTTCCTTCAAGGGGTCTAGAAGGGTTCCATAATGCTTTGGGGTTTAGAGTTCCCGAAAATTAGGCCTGCCATATTTGGGGGTCCTTATAACAAGGACCCTACTACTTACCCAAAGGGTCCAAGTACCTAATTATCATATACTCTCCAAAATCCTAACCTACATAACTACTATCCTAAAACCGAGTACCTAATTATTGGGTCCTTTGGACCCATGGGGTTAGGGTATGATATGAGGGTCCCCAATTTTCGGAAACCGTAACATGAGGCAGGGTTCTTATTAAAGGGAACTCCAGAAAGTTGGAATATGGTTTCATGGTAGGATACCTATAATTTACCATAGAACGGTTAGGATAATCATCTTCCAACTTTCTGGCCTTTACCTTATGGCTTATGACAAGAACGTTGATTGAAGCTACCGTTCACCAACGGCTGCTGCAGTGATTGTGGCCGTCACTCTGATCACGGAACATGCAAAGCCCACAACATGGTAGTGAGCATCTGCAATTGCTGCCACAGTCGGGAAAACTTAGCCTTCAATTGTCTATAGTATACCTTGGACCCCCAAGCCCAACATTCAATATTGATTGATTGTTGAGGCAGTCCACCCTATAGGATCCTTCTCCAATACCTTCAACGCCCGGCCCGAATCTCTCAACCGAAATCTCTTAGACCGACACTCGAACCCAAAATCCGAAGCTTTTCAACTTTAAAGGTTTTAAAGCTGTCGACCCTAGGCCCAAACTAGGAATCCGAGGTTTCTGTACAAGGGCTTCAGGGCTCAGTGTTCCGCTTGAGGGCTTTAGGTTACATGGCAGGGTCCGCAGGGTTCAAGAGGCTAGCCTATACCCCAGACCTTGAACCCTATAAGCCTACGCCAGACAAAAGCTACACCCCAGACCCCTTGACCCTCAACCTACAGCCTCAAGCCACCAGTGACACCTCAACTTCCGGAGCGTTCCCCGAATCTTCATCATGGTTGCTTAACATGTTTGTTCATCTTTATGAAGACTTAAACCCAATCAAGAAGGAACAGCAATCTACATCTCTGAAACGATCTCCACCACCCTAACCCTATAAGCCCTAAACCCTAATTATTCACCCTGAATGTAACATATACCGAGGCTTTGGCTACGCCTACGCCGGCTACGCCACTTCCCGAGACACCGAACGAGAACACGATCGGTCAGGAATCATACAATCTACCTTAACCCTAAGGCTCGAAATGGCCCACAAGCCTTCTATGGTATGGTCTTTGGGCCCAAAAGCCATAGAATATGAGTCCTTAGAGCCTTAGGGTAAGTCTTTAGAGTTCACCAGCACCGCCCAAGTACCCTTTAAAGGGCTCTAATATTTCTCACTAAGAGGTAATTAGGGACTGCAATAAAGGGTAGTTGGGGCTTCTGGGCGGGGCGTAGGGTTTAGGGTTTAGGGTGTGGTGTTGGGGCTTGGAAAAATGAGACTGGGGTTCTTGTAAAGGGTTCTATGGTCCTTGAAGGCTTTAGGTTTATGTAATAGTAGATAGTAGTACTAATGGCTCCGACTCCCCGTATAGTAACTGCTGAGGGGTGCCCTCCAAGGGTTGCGTGCCGTTGTTGGAAGATTCTGTTTGAGAGCCTTGGAGATGTGGGGAATTTGTACAGGGTGTTAGGATTTGGGGTTTACAGTAGGGGTAGTATCCTCGTTTTGGATAGATTTGTCTGGCTTCTCCAGCCCCGGCTTGGGGATGCACATACAGGTGGTGGTTCCGATTCGCGTTTAGGTTTAAGGGGTCGGCAGGGGTGTAGGGAGAGGTGGGGGTGGGAATTCCAACGCTCATGTGCCAGTCTCGTTTGAATCTAAGAATCTAAGGCTCGCAAGTACATGGCTTGCGCCGTTGCGCTTTGTGCCTGAACCCTAGAACCTAAACCGCGAACCTCAGAAACCCTGAAGCCTAAACCCCCCTCGCCCTCGACCTCAGGAATCACGGCTGATTTTCGCGATAAGACCATCACAATATTCATAGTTTCTTCGACATGGTACCTCCAGGGTGGATCCATAGGCGGGAATCCCAAAGTCTTCAGCTTTGAAACCGGCCCTTACATGTAACCTACACATGGGTAGTTGTCAAAATTAGGGTCCCTTTTTGGGTACCCTAAGGTGCCGTACTATATCCAAGACCCAAAAAGGGACCCATAATTTTGACAACCACTCACATGCTTTAGATTCTCTATGAAACCCCTGCTCCAGCCTCGGAACAACCCTCTCAATTTTTTGGGGAGGTGGACGCAAAGCCTTACCTTCCAAGTCCTTAACCCTCCCTCCCTCTCTTTCTCCGTTTCTCTCTCTCTCTCTCTCTCTCTCTCTCTCTCTTTGTCTCTCCCTCTCTCTCTCTCTGTCTCTCTTTCTCTCTCTCTCTCTCTCTCTCTCTCTCTCTCTCTGTGTATGTATGGCCCTCTGATCGGGATGTTCCGAAGGAGCGGCAAATCTCCGTGGGCAGCGGCGTCATTTTGAACCAAAAGCTTCCTAAAGAGATACCGGTGAGCAGAGGCCGGGTTCGGGGTTTAGGGATCAGAGTTTAGGGTCTTTAAGCTTGCAGATGATTGGTTTAGGGTTTACGGGATATAGGGGTTTTGCGGTTTAGGGGTTTAGGGTTTATGGGTTTGGGTTTGGGCTTGAGGGTTCAGGGTTTAGGGTTTGCAGGTTAGCGGAGGCCGGATCCGGGGTCTGTTTAAGCTTCGTAGCTTAGTAGGGAAGGTTTCAACCTTCTGGGGCTTATATACTCCTGAAGGTACTCAGCCCCGGTAAGGGTTAAGGAGTTTAGGGTGTTTAGGGTGGGTCTTAAGCCTAAGCGTTTAGGGTTATTGTTTGTAGGTTTGTGTGTGTGTGTTTTTTTTTTTTGTTTTTTTTGGGGGGGGGGCATTCGGTGTTTGTTATGAACGGTGTCGGGCTTCCTGATTGTTACTGCAATATATTACACCCCAAACCCTGTTCTGATGATTAAGGCCCCTATATTCGGAGTTGAAGGTTCGGGGTTTAGGGTTTAGGGTTTAGGCGTCTAATTCCAGGGTTTGGAGGTCAGGGTTTCAGTGTCACGGGATTAGAGTTCAGGCATCTCCCAGGCCTGCTATGTGCCTCCTTTAGGGTTTAGGGGGTAGGCTGCAAAGTGCAGGGTTCGTTATCAGACTCCCGTTGTCGAAACTGGTCGGAGTGTTTTGCACCCTGGAGCGCACATTATCATATAGAGCCGTTTTAGATCACCGCCGCAAGGTAACCCGGCTCCAATCGTGAAGGACCCTAGACCCTCCGTGGTGTAGTTTGCAAACTTTCCATTTTAGTTGCACAGAGACACCGTCAAGACCGAATCCCAGAAGTTCACGCTTGATGCGAACTTTGAAGTGCGAGATCTTGGGTTGAGGGTTTTGTTTAGGGTTTAGGAGTTATCTTGGGTTGAGGCTTTCTCGTTTACGATTTACAAATTAAGGTTTATGGTATAGGGTTTGGGGGGTATGGAGCCGCGCGGGCCCCAAAGAAGGAAGCCTAATCTCGGATTTACCTTGCCACAGAGACACCGAGCCGGGGCGTTATAGTGAGTATCCGGGAACGAACGGTAGGTAGTGACGACGCCATGCCGAGCAGAACTTAAGATTTTTGAAGTTGAAGCCAGAAACTTACAACATCATTACCTTCATTGCAAAGTACAGTGACCGAATCCTGACACTGAGCCATACAAGCCTGATCCTAACAGGTCAGCCCTTCGAAATACTAATCTGGCCGCCCAAACAATCACCAAAGTATGATGGTCTACGAAAATTACAACAGTAACTCAACCTTAAGCCGGAATAACCTACCTTTTTAAGGACTTATATAAGGAGTTCATAATAAGGAACCCTAAAAAGATAGGTTCTTCAGGGTTAAGGCATTTAAGGAAGACCCTCTAATTTATTGAGGCCCCGGCCCCTGTATCAAGTCCGGAGCACCTTCCAAGCTATGCAAGGCCGCCATGACGAAAAAGAAAAAGAGCATGGAGGCTCCGCCCCAAAAAACCTTAGGGGTACTTAGAAATACTTTTTAGGTTTTTGTTATTATAATCCCTAAGAAACAGCTAAAGTTATAAATTTTTGCTAGGGTTCTAAGTTCAGTATAGAAACCCCAAAACCCTGCGACCCTAAACTCTCACCCTCGAACCCTAAACCCTGCCTTAACCCCAAATTACCTACCTTGTTGCGGCATATATTATATAAAGAGGCCATAACCAGGAACCCGTACATGGTGCGTTATTGGGGGTCCAGGTAAGTCCTAAACCGTCAACATGGTGCGGTTTTAGGGTTGGCCATTTCAGTGTTTGGCATTGTGGGGTTTCGGAGTTTGTTTCACCCAATACATCCATACGATAACAACTGTAGCAATGATGGGAATATTCACAATATAACGAGAAGCTCAGCTTATATCGTCTACCGTCAGTTTCCATACCATGTCTACTTTGTAGGACTTGTAGGATGCCAACCGCAAGAACTGGCCAGCCAAAAACGGGATCTGCACTGTATTGATCGGGCGGCCTGCCCAATTAGACTCGGGCATTGGGTACCCTGAACCCTAAACCATACACCCACATCTGCAGAAAAAGACTCCTCAGGTCCGACGGAAATGCTCTAAAATCGGAAAGCGCATAAGACTCTGCGCATAAAACCATGCAGAGCCTGAAGCATAAGCCCCCCCAAAATTACTAAAAGGCCCGCCCTTTGGAACCGCGAGCCTCTGAGCTCTTGACCCCTAAAGCCAACGCCCTAATCCGGAAACCCTAAGGTTAGGGTTTAGGGGTTTAGGGTTTAAGGTTTAGGGTTTAGGGGTTTAGGGTTTAGGGGTTAATTTGGGGCTTAAATACAGGCCCGAAACGTGACATCGCCTAAAAAACCCAAACCCCAGCACACTCCAAACAGTACGAGTCCTGCAGCCACCGATACGACAAACCCGGCAAAGCCAAAACCTCAGACCCTAAATCCTAAACCCTGAACCTTAAACCCTATAAACCCTAAACCAGGTACGCAGGTTATTTGGGGTTAAAGTACGCCCCAAACCAGAAGCAAAAAGGTTCAGGACGTTCGGGACGACCATCTTGGACCGGAAGCAGCAGCTTCGGGCTCGGCAGCCAGGCCGTCTGAGATACTATTTTTTTTTTTGGGGGGGTGGGAGGTGGGGGTTTCGGGTTTAGGGTTTAGGGTTTGTGGGGGGTGAGGGTTTAGGGTTAGCTGGTTTACGGTTGAGGTTCAGGCCTTAGGAGAAATTACCAACATTTAGTATACACCGAAATCCTCTTTCTCAGTAATCAAAGCCCTAAGTACATATTGTTTAGGGCGTTGAGGCTGAGGGTTCTTTGGAAGACTAGCATGAGAGCCGAAGTCTACACGTTTTCATTCGGTGCCGTGCTGTAGACATTGGCTGTGGGTGGTTGGGGATCTAAGCTGTTCAGGCCCTTGGAGCACGCTGGGGATACAGGGTTTGGAGTGTGTTTTTGTGGTTGGCTTTATACAGAGTTTGGGGCTGTTGGGGTGTGGTGCTTTCGGCACGTTGTCTCGAAACGAGTCGTGCCATGGAGACGGCATTGGAATTCTTGGGTCTCTTCCCGGAGGTCCATGCGTGGAATGTGAGCATCTTGTCTACGGGCACAAGAGCCGTCGCGCATCGACTGTCATGTTCCAGAGACTTCCTACGCCTGGAGACAGAGTGGTGAGGGCACCCGCGAAGCCCGTCCCCAAGGCCCCTAAGCCAGGGGCCAACAGCGCGGCGGACCGGAAAGCCGTTTGCAACTTCTTCCATGGAAACCCAGCGGCCACGGTTTGCCACGTGAAGGCCGTGCTCCAAGGTGTGGAAATTGCAACGGCACCAGCACATCAAATGCTGACAGTAACATAGTCCATGTTCGTCATTGGAACGGTCACGATCATAATGTTGCTTATCATCAGGTTGTACTTATGCGGTGACGAACCCTTGTGAAGGGGGAGGATGCCAGGGGGTGGGGTGCGTGTGGCAGCCCTGCGTCATATATGAGTCAAGGCTTTGGGTGTAGGGATAAGGGTTCAGTCTTTCCTTTGCCCTTTCGGAGCTGGGAAGTATCCGATACTGCAAGTATGGCTATCATACATCGCGACCACCGCACTCATTGTCCTGGCAACGCAGTCACCATCACGATAATCATCCTTGTCAGCCTCGTCGTTTACGGCCACCACCAGTATCTCCATCATCATGACCCTAGTCATGGTCATGGTCTCTATTATCTTCATCAGACTCATCATCCTCGCCGTTCCTATCGTTACACATCACCAGATTCGCTCATCTTCACGTCCTTGCTATCATCAGCTTAATGCTCCTTTGTTAAGGAAACCCTAATCCCTACATTCTAAACCCTAAAGCGGATGGGGCATCGGTAGCGGCTCGGCCTCCACCACCGAAGCCCGGCGAACATGAATTCAATTTCCGACTCTCGCAGTAGCACTTTCTTGAACCCTGAGTCCCGGGGTTTACCGGGGTTTAAGGTTCACGGTTTAGGGATTTAGGTTTGGTTTAGGGTTTTGGGTTATGGATCCGAGCTAGTATTAGAAGACCCCTTAAAGGGTACCCGTGTTAACCCTACTTATGGCTCTCTTAGAAGGGACCTTGTTGAAGGGTCCCGTTGCACCTAACTCCCACTGTAACATGCGCGCAAGAAGCTTATAGGGTTCATAATTAGAATAGGGTCTTGTTAATGGATCATAATTAGAATAGGGGTTTAGGGTTTCAGGCTCTAAACTCTAAACCATTATTCTTCCTGCTGCATGGAAGAAAAGAGCACAACACGAAACTAAGCCGAAAATCAACCCTGCCCAGCTCAAGAACATGCTGCACGGGCACGGGCACGGGCACGGTGCTCGTCAATCCGTGACGAACGAGAAGAAAGATTTGAACGAGCATCAGAGGACGCTCGATTGCAGAAATCCCGAAACCCTCAACCTAATGCAGGGGCTTAACGGATCCGGAGTATTCGTCCTTTGGGCTTTCCAACATGTAGAGTTGTAAATTCCAGTTCCGAAGTTCCCTGGTCTACTTGTGTAGTCAATTATATTACACTTCCTGAAACCAAGGGACCATGTAGCCCGGTTTAGGGCGGGGTCCGTGAGGGTGGACGGAGCTCGGTTACAGTGCAAGCTTTCTGGTACGTGTCGTGGGATTCCCGAAGGGAAATCGGGTCCATTTGTTTGCGGCTCTGCAGCAGACGATTCATGAAGGCTCCTACTTTAGTATTTCGCCACCATTGATCTCAGTAGCTCAGGGCTTACCACGACGACTGTTGACTCTTGCCAGTGGCTCGTGATGCAAGCTACCATCGGTTGAATAGTCCGTTGATAAGCGCAAGCTGTATGGGGCGGCCCTTTGTGATCCTGCGCAGGTGTTTAGTCATTAAGGCCCTTATAATAGGTAGATTGAAGCTTCATTTCTTGGTAGAAGTCACGTCCAAAATCTCTACACCGTTCATCGTCAATGCAGCATTCAATCCGATCTGTTGCAAGGGTTTCCCTAAACTCTGAAACCTCGAGTCCTGCCACCCTAAACCCTAGACCCCTGAAACCTGCAGACCTTAAACCCTAGGCCCGGAGGGTGTTCCTCAGCAAAACCCGACAAGCCACTGAGCTTTGATTCGCTAGGAGAGCCTTGCGGGCCAGTGGATCCTTCATGCGACTTAGATGCTGAAGAGTGAGGAAACTGGAAAGCCCAATACAAGGGCTAGGGTTATAGACTTATAGAGCTCAAGGATTGAATGCAGGTAGGGTTTGCAAAGGCTGATACCCCTGAACTATTTTTTTCTCTCGCTCTCTCTCTCTCTCTCTCTCTCTCTCTCTCTCTCTCTCTCTCTCTCTCTCTCTCTCTCTCTCTCTCTCTCTCTCTCTCTCTCTCTCTCTCTCTCTCTCTCTCTCTCTCTATGCATATATATATATATATCATGAAAACATTCAGCGGCATTCCGAGCATTGGACTTTCTGGGACATCCGGCTATGGTCATGGGTTTTTGGGTGGGAGGGTTTGCGTTTCCAGTTGATGGCCGGGTTGCTGACTTGAAAACAAGCCCGACATAGAAGAACCACTCCTCCTCCCCCCGCAGGGATGTGCAGGCTTTCTGTGCTATTGTTTTCGTGTCGAGCTGGTTGGTATTTTTTGTCAGTCTGGTCGTCTGTTGCATTGCACAGGCTTGGCAACGACGCTTAGTTCATTTTTTCTGCCGGAAGCACTAAAACGTCTAAAACCCTAAACGCTGAACTACGATCTTTTCAGGTTTGCTACCTCAATTCTATAGACCTGAATTAGCTGCTAATTAATACCGTTCCTTGGGTTTCTACTCCATGAGTATATGTATATGTGTATATATGGTCTATAAAGACCCTACAGCATACAACCCTTGTTATAGAACTCTTCTTAGTAACCCTTTACCGAAGCCTCACAGAACCGCCGTTCCTACTCTACACCATTGGGTTCAGGGATTGTTGTAGGCGCTTCATGGTTCTGGAATGTATAAGAGTTGTATTAACGGGTGTAGGGCTATGGGCCAAGGGTTTTAGAGTTTAGGCCATGTAGACTTTAGGGTGAGGGCTTGCAACCTTTAGAGAATTGAGTTTGGGGTTTGGGCTTTGACACGGACTGAGTCTGTGCAGCACCGGTCGCGGGTATAGCGTAGGGAGAGGGTTCAGGGTGGTGTATGGTTTTGTCCCTAAGCCATATCCCTGAGCCTGAAACGAACATGCATTTCGTGAGATCTCGGCTTCCGGGCTTTGGTTTTAGCAGGTAAGGTTCTGGGTTACAGTGCTCAGATCGGTTTAGGGTTTAGAAACTAAGTTTCTACATACCTCCCGGAGAAGGGTACACCCCAATTCTGAGACATCTGCAGCTCGATGCCCGCTAGTTGCAGGGAGGGAGGCTCCGTCCCACCCGCAATAAAAGGGGGCTTCATAGCTCTAAGGTTTTAGGATGTTTTAGGGTTTTAGGGCTTCGCAACTAGACTAGTGGACAGGACCATGGGGGGCAATGCTCAAACACCAAGCAAGGAAGAACACCTCAGGGTCAAAGGCTTAAAACCTATCTACCCGAAGCAGCCTCCCTTTCCAGAATTTTTTTAAGACTCAGACAAGGAACTCGCAATCAATAAGGAGCCCTAATGAAAAGGGCAGTGTGTTTTAGGGCCAGTACTCACTGTTACACTCCCCCCTGTCCGATCCTTGGGGGCGAGGGTTTAGAGGGTTTATCGAGTTAGGGTTTTTGGGTGTGGGGGTTTAGGGGTTCAGGGGTTTGGGGTTTGGGGTTTAGGGCTGAGGGATGTTTGGGGCGCAAGTGAAGCATACTTCTATGATGAAGATGCTCCGGGGAAGATCCGAAGTTGAAATCCGAAGGAAGCAAGCCCCCAACTTCCCCCCAAGGCCCTCAACCCCGAAACCCCTGAACCCTAAACCCTAAACCCTAAAAGCCAAGCAAGAAAGCCCCAAACGCCGAAGAGCCATTTCAGGTCAGACAAGACTGCAGAATCAAACAATGGCTCTGCATCTCACGTCCTGCGTAAGGCAGGGCAGTTGGGGGATTCTGGCATATTGCATAACGGTATATGGTATATTAGTGTGCTATGAGAGAAATAGGGTAACCTGGCAGTGTAAATAACACAGTTAAGAAGGAAAACATATGATAGTTTAGTGTAATGTAATGCAATGGTGTATGTAAGTTCGTGCAATACACTAGCTGAAGTTTTAGTATGTACAACATAGCCAGCACAATGTACCACACAGCATTATGTAACATGGAGTTCCAAAACACAGCATGGAGTTTCATCATGTAATATGGAGTTCCATGGGTAGTCTGGGCTTGTGGTTACCCCAAGGGTCCAAGTCCTCAATAATCATATACTCTCCAAAATCCTAGCCCGCATAACTACTATCCTAAGAACGAATACCGGTCCTTTGGACCGTTGCGGTTAAAGCCAAAGCCTTAACCCTACAAGTCTTGAGCTCACGCCCCGAGCTTCCAACTTCGTTGAGCTGCCTATATGTGCACTTATCGCACATGCAGAAGGGTTTAGGGAAACCCAAAACCCTCAACCCTAAACCCTAAACCCTAAACCCTAAACCCTAAACCCTCAACCCTAAACCCTGAACTCCTAAACCTTCAAGTTTTCGAGCCATCTGCAGAAAACCTCTCCTCGGAACTTCATCCGTGGGCTTGCTGCATGGGTTCTGAATACCTTTCGAACATATGTGTGATTTTGCATTTCAGGGATTCCGGAGTCGCAAGCTCCTAGTCTCTGGGTTTATGGTGCAAGGCTTTGGTCTTGAAAGAACCCAGACCTTCCAAAATCCATTAAATAAGGAATATACCTTAAATTATAATAGGATCCCAAGAATGAATTAAGGTATATTCCTTAATTAAGGGATTTGGGAAGGTCTGGGAAGGCTTGAAGGTTCTGGCGGTGCCGACTTCGGAGTGGTCAGCACATGCAAGGGTCAGAACAACAAGGAGCCTGATCAGAGTCAAAGTGACAAGCGTTGCAGTAAACCCTAAACCCTAAACCCTAATCCCTAAACCCTAAACCCTAAACCAAGATAATCCGGATGAGTCGCCAAGTCGTAATTAGATCTGGTCATGCAGTCCTTGCCAAGCCACCGCCATTATTACCGTCTCCATCAACATTAACATAGCCGTCATAGTCATCATAAGCAACACTCTCAACAGAAGTACCACCATCGAAGCCATCATCCTCATAAGCAGCAGCATCCTCATCATCAACTTTACTTTATCATCATCATCACAGGCGTCTTCGCTGCCTTCAAGATCGCCATCGTAGATTTTATTATCCACCGGTATCATCGCCACGGTCGTGGCTATCACAGTGCTGACCATCATTGTCATAATTCTTCAACATCATAAGCGCCGACAGCAGCAGCAGCAACAACAACAACAGCAACAACAACAACAACAGCAGCGGCACAGACTCGCCGCAGCACCGACATCACCACCATCAACAGCACCGCCACCGCCACCGCCGCCGCCACCGCCGCGCTCCACCTGCGATCGCTCTAGGAAAGTTTTCAAATACATACCTGACATCAAGATTTGGGGTTTAAAGTTTTGGGTTATTTGTGTTTTCACGAACACATGGAATGACATTCACAACATGGTTTGGAATGCTGGGCAATCACTACACTTAAGCCCTCCACAGGTGGAGCTCAGATGGTCCAAAGATACCACATGCCCATTCTATCCATCGTTCGGGGCGGGACGTAATTCCATTATTTGGAACCTCTTGGCAACATTTGCATGGCCCTCGCTGGAAGGTCGTAACCTCGTCTGCTTTTTCCTATGGCATCTTGGCATCACTTTGATTTCGTCGGCTCCTCCAATGCTTGCAAGGTTCTTCTGCGTTGTTCTACGGCGCACGGGACCAGAACACGGATTTCTGATTTGATCTTTCCCTTGCCGGAGCCGTCCTTCCACTTAGCCCGTAGAAAACGAATGGCCACTGTGGTAACTCAGTGTCTTTTGGTGACCCGATCCGCAGTCCCTAAGTCCTTAACCCCAAATCCAAAATCCCGAAACCGAATTATAAAAGCTGAATCCTAAGCCCCAAGTCCGCAACCCCAAGACCCTGAACCCTATACCGCACCAAAAAATCCATCAGCCTCAGACCTTTAAGCCCCAAAAACCCACATCCCACCCCGAACCTAATCCCTGAAGCTTTTAGTGTTTAGGGTTTAGTGTAAACCCTGGAGCCTAAAGGAGTGATATGAGTTTAGTGGGTGCGCGCGCCTACTTTTTTTTGGGAGTATAGCAAAAAATGTCGGAAAGTATGCAAGCAATGGAGGCTCAACCCGACATCCGACCCTAGACTTAGGGTTTCCTTAAAGGGGTCTATAAGGGTTCTATACAGTGGTTTAGGGGTTCGGAAAGTTTGGGGGTTTAGGGGTTGAGGGGTTCAGGGTTGAGGGTTAATGGGTTTTTCATTTTTGCAGGCTTTGCTATACAATTGCCCAGATGCTTAGTAAGAGTATGACCTGCGATGACGATACTACTATTACTATTCCTATACCATACATTGCATATACCTACACATACACATAGACATAGACATGTACGTATACATATACATGTATAAATATATATATATATATATATATATGTATGTATGTATGTATGCACATAGTTGTATGACAAACTATTGGGGCTTTACATCAGGATTTAACTGCACCGTATACTTCCGGTCAGAATCTCGTGCATCAACGACATTCAGCACCTAACTAAACCGAGGCCGGCCATGGTTTAGAGTTTAGGGTACCTTAAGCCTGAAGAAGCTACCTTTTCAACAGGGTTCATTTTTACGATTTCTTGATATAAGACCAGAAAAAGGTAGGTTATTCACGCTCAAGGTAGCCCTAACCCTAAGTGTAGGTTGTTTTTTTGTGGCTCTTCGCACCTACAGTCCCACTTTACTAGGGAGTACTTCGACCCTCTGAAAAAAAAACACCCGACACAAACCCTAGTCCAATCAACCCACAAAGGCCGAGCCGAGCCTAAATCCCACCTTAACCCTGAATAACTTACCTTTTTCTGGACTTATGCAAGGAAATCATCATAAAGAGCCCTGAAAAGGTAGGTTCTTCAGGCTCAAGGTAATAATTAATGCCTATAACGCCTGAAACCGGAAAGGCTGAAGCCTCACCCCAGCAGCCTAAATATCACGAGCTATATTCCATACAAAGCACCTTCACGCCTAAACCCTAAACCCCGAAACCGCTATACCCTAAACACCTAAACCCCAAACCCCTAAACCCCTAAACCCCTAAACTCTGAACCCCTAAACCCTAAACCCATAAATCCTAAGGCGGGATCCCACTATCTAAATTATCCGACCGGGCTCCCACACAACATTGCAGCCTGGATCTGGCTTATGGTTTAACATGTGCTATATGGGCCGAGAGGGATCCTTTTAAGGGTTCTAGAAGGGATCTATAGTTGGGTTTTAGAATATAGGGGCCTTAATATTTACCTATACTATTTTTTTGGGGGGGGGGGGGGTTCCTTATTATAGGTATAGTATAGTATAGTATAATGGGCCCCAAAACCTTTTTCTAATTATTAAGGCCCCTATATTACCCTTTAGAACTGGGTTTTTAAGGACATTCTTGGTCTCAGCCTGAGCTGACAGGTATCATGTTCCTCATCCTCGCCAACATGGTAATTCTCGGCGTGGAGGCCACCCGCCGTTCACCTTGGAAGGGAGGCTATCTCTCAGGTTCTGCCACACAAACTGTAGTACCGTCTGAGGTTATGCAGCAAGCGCCAGCAAGCTTTCAAGTTTTGAGACTTCATGGTTGTTTGTCTATGCTCGGCTTTGCGTGATCAGTGTTGCGGCTCCGACAGGTGGACACTGCCCGGCATTTGCCACCCGACGAAAATCCGGACCGTCACGTTGCCTTCTGCGATGCACTGCACATTCGGCATGGATGAAGACCTAGGTCAGTCTAGGGCTCAACGGTTTGAGGTAAAAGCCAGAAAGTTGGAATACGATTATCCTAACCCTTCTATGGTAAAATATAGTGTATCCTACCATGAAACCATATTCCAACTTTCTGGAGTTCCCTGTAGGTTAAGAGGCGTATGGGACCCTAACCATATTGGGGTTTTAGCAATTGTCTCCTCGCAGGACTATTTCTTCATCATCAACAACAGCATCGTTTGCCTCTTCGTGCTGGACGGCCACAGCTTCTACTTTACTTCTTTCCCATACTCTCCCCAATAGTAACCTACATAACTACTATCCTAAACCCAAGTGCCTTCTTATTGGGTCCTTTGGACCCTTGGGGTTTTTGGCAGACCAGGAAGTGCAAACTGCCTCCTCCCCACTAAACCTCGAAGCCGGCCCTATACTCTGAACCCTGCGAGAGAGAGAGAGAGAGAGTGAGAGCTAAGATATTATATAGGTTAGACCATATTGTATTTTAGTATATGATAGCATGTATAAAAAAGACATATATATATATATATATATATGCATATATATATATATATATATACGTATGTATGTATGTATGTATGTATGTATGCATGTATGTATGTATGTATGTATGTATGTATGTATGTATGTACGTATGATGTGCACATTTGTTGTAAGCCGAAACTCCTACCCAAATCGTGGTTCTTGCCAGATTGTACTTGTAATGCACTGTTCTAGCTGGTGGATGCCAAAGCCACCCTTTCCCGCGGAAGGTTCCGAACTAGTGTATGCGTCGGTACAGAAGATAGCAGAAAAGAAAGGTTTTCCCCCAATTCTGGCCCAAAGATTATTCTCCTCGCCAATGGCCGTCAGGAGATCATTCTCAAGCTCATGGCCTTCGGATGCCAAGCTTTCTTCTGCGGGCGGGACCGTGGCTGGAACATTTTTGACTGCATCATCGCAGCTTTGCCCCAATGGGTTCAGGGATGTTACCCTAAGGGTCCATGTAATTACCCATCTAGAGATACATGGCCCCAAAGTACCCAAATAGGGACTACTTTAAGGCCAATGTATATACTATATGAGTACATGGACCCTTAGGGTTAGGGGTTGGGGGGCCCTCACTTGATGCGAAATGTCTCTTGACATCTGGGAGTGTCCGGAAATTAGGGGTACCTTATTCTGGGGTTCTTCTAATAAGGATCCTACGATTTAGGGTACTATATCAGGGTCCTCTATTTTCGGAAACCCCCATCTGGCAGTATTGGGCTTTTGCTTTGGTAGCCGATGTGCTTGCGTCCAAACCTGGGCAGAAATCTCGAGCTCACTTTTCCGGTTCAGGGTTCAAGGCTCTAAGGGTTTTGGGTTGAGGGTTGAGGGTTCGGGGTTAAGGGCTCGGTGTAGGAGTGTAGGGTTCAGGGTTTGATGTAGGAACCTGATCAAGAAACCCTGGGCATTTTGTCCAAAATTAGTAGGATTCATATAAGGAACCCTGATACAGGCCCAAGGTTTCTTAATCAGGTTCCTACATTATCATAGTACCCCTATAGACCCCTTATAGTAACCCGTAGAGACCCCTTTAAAGGAACCCTTAGGAACAAGGTTTCTTAATCAGATTGCTACATTAGACTTCGATCAGGGTTCGCATCCTTCGCCGAGTTGTCTGGGCCCAAATCCTTCGAGAGAGCCTTGCTTCGCAAAAGAAGCGCCAGGGCCTCTGCTTCCAAGGACCTTTTTTTTGTTAGGGGCCTAGACCCCATGGAAAACTCTAAACCCTAAACCCTGAAGCCCTAAAGCCCATGAAGGAGCCAATAATAAGGTCCCTGGAAGCATAGGGAGTGCCATGTCGGATGCCGTCATCGCCCACTGCGAAGCCTGGACTGCCAAGCATGGGGACTTCAAGGACGAGTTGGCCCTAAACCCCAATTTCTTGGGGGTTTAGGGTTTAGGGGTTGAGGGTTTAAGGTTTAGGGTTGGGGGTTGAGGGTTTAGGGTTTAGGAGCTCAAAAGCCTACAGCCTAAACTATAACCCAAATCCTGGAAACCTGAAGCCTTAAAGCCCTGAGGACCTAACCCCTCTAAACCCTCCAAACCCTCTGAACTATGAAGCCTATAAAAGCCATAAACCCCATTTAGAAAATCTATATGAACCCCATAAAAGCCCTTAAACCGTGAAGACTTAAACCCTCTAAACCCTATATACCCCCAAACCCCCTATAAAAGCCTATAAACCCCAACAAGCCCTATAAAAGCCTTCGAGCCTCTATATACACTCCACTCCAGGGGTAAAAGGAGGGACCCTTAATAAGGACCCCTAGGTATATACCCTTACTATAGCCATTATATACCCATTATATAGCCCATTATAGGGTGGGAGTCCCCATTAAGGATCCCTCCTTTTCCCCTTTGACACACCCTACAGGACGAGTCGGGCCTGCACTTGCTTCTCGAGGGGCTTTCGATGTCCAACCTGGAAGTATCACTGCTCTGTGAGGACAGGATCCTTTCTTTTAGGGTTTGGGGTGTTAGGGCTTAGGGTTTAGGATTTAAGGTTTGGGGTTTAGGGCTTAGAGTTCAGGATGTAAGGTTTGGGTTCTAGCGTTTAGAGGGCCCTAACCCTGTAATCCCAAAGCTTAAAAAACCCTCTAAGCCGTGAAGCCTGACCCGAAACCCTATCGCCGCAACCCGCCTTAAACCCTATACACCTTAAACCCTGAGCCCTATAACCGTAACCCATCCTAAACCCTATACACCTTAAACCCTAAGCCCTTTAACCGTAACCCCCAAAACTCTGAGTTCACTGCAGTGTGAGGCTTTTCCGGGAGAGCTGAAGTTGGTGCCGTTCGTGCGTTGGCTCTTTCAAGCGCCTTCGATGGCCAATGGGAGACCCAGACCTTCCAAAATCCCTTAATTAAGGAATATACCTTAATTCATATTTGGGATCCTATTATAATTTAAGGTATATTCCTTAATTAAGGGATTTTGGAAGGTCTGGGGACCTTAGCCCATGGGTCCGAAGGACCCAATAATTAGGGTTTAGGGTTCCTTTAAAAGGGGTCTATAAGGGGCTACTATAAGGGCTCTCGAACATAGGGGCCTAATAGTTAGGTACTCGGTTTTAGGATAGTAGTTATGTAGGTTAGGATTTTGGAGAGTATATGATTATTGGGTACTTGGACCCTTGGGGTTAGATAGTAAACCCTAACCTCCAAGCCCTGTTTGGGCCCCGGGTTATTGAAGAAGAGACACGGTAAACCCCAAACCCTGAACCGAAGCCCAAAACCCCTAAACCCTAAAACCCTAAACCCTTAACCCTTAAACCCTAAAACCCTTAAACCCTTAACCCTAAACCCCTAAACCCCTAAACCCTAAACCCCTAAACCCAGGCGCTGGGCCCGGGTCCTGCGAGAGCTCCGGAAGAGTCGGGGGTGCCTCTGCGAGAGTTCACTCGGCTCGTGGCGGAACACAAGACATGGCTCAGCAGCTGAGTGAGTAGGCTTTACTACATGTGTGTGTGTATATATATATATATATATGTAGGGTTTAGGGTTTAGGTTTTAAGCTTTGTGGGATCATGTATATGATAGTGAGAATGATTAGACTGCAAGTTGTCGGTGGTAATGCGACGGTTATTTTTCTAGAGACTCGATGTTTAAGCAGCCTTCCCGGCTTATGAACGTTACGTTATAGTACACTTTAGTAGATTTCTTCTTGTAAATCCCTTATAGTAGATCCCTTATAGCAGATCCTTTAGAGTAACCCTTATAGACCCCTTTAAAGGAGCCCTATTCTAATCATTAAAGCCCTTACGACCTGAGGCTCTCCACGGCCAAGTGGAACCCTTATAGCAATAGTGCCTGCCGGCCCAGCATGTACGACGTGGTGGAGCAGATCCTGGCTTCTTGTTAAGGGGTGTAATTTAGGTTACCATTATAAGGAAACCACATTATTAAGCCTGCTATGGCAACAGAACCCTAAACCCTAGACCCCTTCCCTCAGCATCAAAAAAGCCCAAAAGCCTTATATAGTATGGTCTTTGGGCCCAAAAGCCTTAACACATGAGTCCTTAGATTCCTAGGGCTTATGAACCCTCAACCCTAAGCCCTAAACTACGACGTGGTGGAGCAGATCCTGGGTTCCCGAAATACACATACTGTAAAGGGAACTCCAGAAAGTTGGAATATGGATTAATGGTAAGATCCCCTATAATTTACATTAAAGGGGTTAGGATAATGATATTCCAACTTTCTGGCTTCTCCTGTAAACCCATGGGGTAGCTACATACACTAATCTGGGTTCTTGTCAAGGGGTATTCAGTTGAAGCTGCCATACTAAAAACCATACTATTCAGTACTATGGATCCCCATTATTGCCCCAAGCCCAGTACTGTAACAGAACCCTAAACCCTAGACCCTAAACAAGATCTCCATTGTTGCAACACAACCCTAAACCCTAAACCCAAACCCCAAACCCAGGATCATCAAGCCTCTGACCAAGTCACGTCTCGTGGCCTTTGCAGAGCTTCTGGAGCCCCTGGCGCCCCAGGTTGCTGGGTGCTTTAAGGAATCCATAAGGGCTCCTTCAAGGGTATAGGGTTTAAGGTCTAAGTTGCAACAATAGGGATCCATAGCAAGTAATACGGTTTCCCTATTATGGTAACGTAAACTAAATCCCTGAACAAGAACACAGGTGTTTGTGAGCCACTGGTGGGGGGAAGAGTTCGTCTGCTTCGTGAGAGCTCTTCGCCTCTTCGCTAACACCTACAGGTCAGAAACGTCCCGAGAGGTTCATGATGATGTCAATGACACCTGGGAGGTGGTTTCTGAGCCCACAGACGAGGTGGCCTTCTGGGTCTGTTCCTTTGCCAATCGCCAGTGGGAGGTGAACTTGGGAAGTACTCTGCAAGAGAGTCCATTCGAGCGAGCGCTCGCGGCCCCATCTTGCACACACGTGGTAATTTGTCGTGATTGGACAACATTTTAAGTCTCAATGGGTACATAAACACAAGTAGTTAGGAATAACAATTCAGTTTCCCGATACTCTATCCATGGAGTAGCCTATAAACCCTAAACCCAAGGTAATGATCATGGAGCCCTTTGCCACACCACTCCAGCGCATCTGGTGCCTCTACGAAGTGCTCCGTGCACACGCATTGAAGAAGGATTTCCACATCGCTACCGAACCTTAGATAGCCAATGGGAATACTTCAAACTTATACAGAACATTTGGCCATATGCATACTTGTGTATATACACATTAACTTAATGGGTGTGTTGATCTATCGATCTATCAATCTATCAATATGTATATATATATATATGTATATATATATATATGATTATTTGGTTCTATTCACATACTTATTTATCACAGACTTACAAAAACCGAACTTTTTTGGGCGCAGATATTGAAGAAGAGAGGAAAATGGTGTCCTCACCGTCGGCCGCGATGAGCCTTTCGGCGAGCAACGTGAGGATCTCCTTCGGCTAACCAAGAGGGTCTTGGAGATTGACCCAAACACTGCGAAGGCTAGCCAGGAACAGGACCGTCGCATGATCATGGAGGAAGTCGACAAGGCCCGCCTAACTCAAAAGCCCCCAAAATCTTTAAATTCACACCCCTAAACCCTACCTACCCTCGACGCTAAACCCTACACCCTAACCCTACATACCTTGAACCCTAAGGCCGTTGGCTTGGAGCAGTTCGGTGTGCACGTAACATCATTGCTGGCAGAAGCTTTCCGAAGGCGCGGCGGGAATCAGCTCGTTACTTGGTGGTCTGTTGGCCTCTCATAAGGTAGTCTTATTCTGAAACTTTGAGGATTTTACCCCATGGGTATTTGGAAAGTAAACCCTCAACCCCTAAACCCCTTATAAAGCCTAAGTAAGGTTATGGATGCCCCGGAGCTGCCCATGCGCCTCTATCGCCTCCACCGACTCTTGGCTACCATAGTGGGGCTCTATATAAACGGTCTAGGGTTCAGGGGTTTAGGGTTTGGGGGTTTAGCGGTTTAGTTAGGGGTTTAGGGTTTTGCGGTTTAGGGGTTTAGGGGTTTAGGGTTTAGGGTAATATATAGTATATATCCCTGGGCATCAAAGTAGCCCCAAAGCCTTATACAGTATGGTCTTGGGGCCCAAAAGCTACCATAGTTGGGATCTTTTTGGGAGTTTCCGAATCTTAGGGGTACCTTGAAAGGGATCCTTTAAGGGTTCCTCTAAGGGATCTATGAGGGTTCTTTTAAAGGGTTTAGGGGCCAGGGTTCCAGAAAAGTAGGGGTACCGCCTTTTGGGGTCCTTAGAATAAGGATCCTACTGTTTGGGGTACTCTATTCAGGTCCCCTATTTTCGGAATCCCCCATTTAGTGAATAGTTGGGATCTATATAGTACATAATCACGGTTTCTTAAGACTTCAAGTTGCCAGGATCGAGATCTATAGAGTAATTATATAATATGATATGGTTTCCTCGTTATGGTAAACATAGTCGGGATCTATATAGTGTATAGGATGGTTTCCTCATTATGGCAACTCGATTTCCTGATTATGGTAATTGACACTCGATTCCTTAACTTACAAGAACCCCCTAGACCTTAAACACCTAAAGCCCTAAACCCCAAAGGCCCTAAACCCTAAACCCCTAAAGCCCTAAACCCCTAACCCCTAAACCCCTAAAACCCAAAACCCTTAAACCCCTAAACCCTAAAGCCCTAAACCCCTAAACCCTAACGCCTAAAACCCTGAACCCTAAACCCTACACCCTAAACCCTAAACCCCTAAACCCTAAACCCCTAAAAACCTAAACCCCTCAAGCCCTAAACCCCTAAAGCCCTAAACCCCTAAACCCCTAAATCCCAAAACCCCTAAACCCTCAAGCCTTAAACCCCTAAACCCTAACGCCTAAAACCCTGAACCCTAAACCCTAAACCCCAAAAACCCCTAAACCCCTAAACCCCTAAACCCTAAACCCCTAAACCCCTAGACCCCCAAAGCCCTCAACCCAAGGACTCGGTAAGATGTTTGTCACCTTCGAGGGCCGGACCCTTCTTCACAGTGTCTTGGTCATCTGGGAGCTTCCGGAAATTAGCGGTACCTTAGGGGTTCCTTTCAAAGGGTTACTATAAGGGTTTTAGGGGTACCTTAGGGGTTCCTTTAAAGGGTTACTATAAGGGATCTACAAGGGTTCTATAAACGTTTTAGGGTTTACTGTCTAGGGTTTCCGAAAAGTAGGGGTACCTCAGGGGTTCCTTTAAAGGGTTACTATAAGGCTTCTATGAACGATTTCGGGTTTAGAGTTTCTGAAAAGCAGGGGTACCTTATTTTGGGGGTCCTTGTATTAAGGATCCTACTACTTAGGGTATCAGACATACCAGCGGGATCGGACCAAGCCCTTCAAACCGCAAGCCCCAAGACCCCATAAGCCGTATTATCCTAAACCCTATAACCCCTAAACTCTGAATCCTAGGGTTTAGGGTTTAGGGTTTAGGGAAACTTTCAGCCCTAAGCCGCAAAACCCTACCCCAAGCACCATAAGCCTATAACGAAGCCCTAAACCCCAAACCCGAACTCCTCAACCCTATAAGCTTAGCATAAGCCTAGACCTGCCAAGGCGTAGCTCAAAGGAAGGAGCCCGGTGAGGTTCGACTAGCCCTTGCAGCTGCCTCGGCATCGCATCTAAGTTAGTAACCTTTAGGGTTTAGGCTTTTAGGGTTTTAGGGCTTAGGGTTCACGGTTTAGGGTTTAGGGTGTGAGGTTCGGAGTGTAGGGTTCTTGAAACCCTAGGCAACGAAATTTCGAAACCCCAAGCCTGAAAGCGACAAAAATGGCAGAGTAGGTGACCCTTTCAGTAACTTTTGTGGGAATTCTATAATCCCCTTAAATTCCCAAAGCTTAACATTCACGTCCCCCTAGGATGCCTGGCAAGTAACCCTAAACCCTGAGCCTTAACCCTAAGCAAGAAATTCCTAAAACCCCCAAACCCGAAACCTAAAAGCAACAAGAATGGCCTCTGAACTGGGCAACCCTAAGAACTAAACCCTACCTTAAAACCCACTTCACAAGCCCTAAACCCTGCCTTAAAACCCTAAAACCCTGAACTAGGCCCCAGAGTAAGCCCTTATTCCCTTTTTTAGGGTTCAGGTTCCCTTATAACCCCCTTTAAACCAAAAAGGGCACCCTTTTTATTGCCAGGCGACTCTTGGGTCTAGTGAACTCTAAAAACCCTAAACCCCCAAGGAAGGGGAGCTCGAGAGCTGCAACTCCTTGGGCCAAACGCCTCTCCACATGGCCGCTGCACCTTGGCCCTGTTACCCCATGGGTCCAAAGGATCCAATAATTAGGTACTCGGTTTTAGGATAGTAGTTATGTAGGTTAGGATTTTGGAGAGTATATGATAATTAGGTGCTTGGACCCTTAGGGTGTTAGTTAGCCTCTGAAATTTGGGGTTTAGGGTTCAGGGGTTTATAGGGGTTCAGGGACCTAGGCCCGGTTAGTTAGCCTCTGAAATTTAGGGTTTAGGGGTTCAGGGATTTTGGCTAAAGGGGTTTAGGGTTTTCGGTGGTTTTGGGTATAGGGGTTTAGGGTTTCAGGTTTAGGGGTTCAGAGTTTGGTGTTTAGGGGTTTAGGGTTTTGGGGCGTGGTACTTGGTTCCTTTCAAGAGGGATCCTGATTGCAATCAACCATACTATACCCAAAACCTAGTCCAGCTGTCAAGGCCCCTTTTATTGCGGGTTTCAATGCTTGTAGGATTTATGTGGGTTCTCGCCATTATTGGTGCTCCTTTGCATTCCTTTCAAGTCTGAGTACAATAAGGGAGAACAGGTTTCCACGACTGTTTGTATCTTTCGCACTGTTATTATTATGCTTACTGGCTCTTATTGATATTTTTTGGCAGCATTATTCCGACTTTTTGTTGTTTACGCTGGAACATAGGCACACAACTGTCACCTGCACCTGCTTGACCTCTTGAATCCTCAACCAGCCCCAGGCATACAAACAGCACCCTTGCATTGTGTCTATGTGATGCTTACTGTTGTTGTAGTGGTGAACTTCATGATTATGGGATTACTGTAGTATTGCTGTAATGACTCTTCCTCTGAGTATTGGATTCGTAGTCTATCTCTGGTGTGCCCAGGCATACAACCGGCACCTCAACGTTCTTGATCTCCTCATCGCCGCAGAGATGGATGTCAACGCACGCGATCAGAATGGCCTCACACCCTGGATGCTCTCCGCTGCCACAGGCACCCCTGTGAGGGAAATGAAAATACGCACAATCACTGTAATGATAGCATACATATATCTGTCATGAAAACAGTGCAGTCACAAAATGTAGCTATCGGTGATATTAGTACTAGCACAGGCAATCGAAACACTACTGGTAATAGTCAAAAAAGCCGAACCGCTGCGCACAATACCCCAGGGCCATACAACATGTACCCTGAGCCCTTACAAGAAACCTTCAACTCTAAACCCGAAAACCCTAAATCCTGAACAGGTCATCACGAGGCTCTCTCTCACTTGCTCGTGAGGGGTGCGGACCTTTCGTACGAAGTGGATCTCTGGCAAAGCGAGGACATCAAATGGGTCGACAAAGCTATACCGAACGGACTTCACCTGGCAGCATTCAGTGGTAGCTTGGAGTGCTGCCAAATCTTCCTACGCTACCACAGAAAGGTCCACAGCACCATGCTGACTGCAGCCAGCATCAATGGACATGCCGAAGTATTGCAGACCATCCTCCCTCATGCAGATGATGTCAATGGCATCTGCGAAGGCGGTCCCTTTCCCATTGCGCTCCATTCTGCAAGCTTCTGCGGCCAATTGAGCTGTGTGGAACTCCTTCTATCCCACCGGGCCTTGCCAAACCTTACCTGCATCTGGGCTCTTGTTAAGGGATTCAATTAATTAGTTTTGTAGTTTCCAGCACAAGGAAACCATATCATGCACTGTCGATCCCTATAATGGCAACTTAAATCCCTTAACAAGAACCCAGGCAATGGGGGGAAAACTGCATTCTTCAGTTCCATGGCGACTGGAAACGAAGGTGTGGGCCGGCTCCTGCTTCGTTACCGCGCAGATCCTTGGATAAGGACGGCGGCTGATGACAGCGTCCTGGGTGTGGCGAGTGGTGGAGGGCACAACGGCTGTGTGCAGATGCTGCTGTCTCTGCGAGCAGACCCGCATGAAACTTAGTAGCTGAATCAGTAGACTCAGATTTTATAGCAATTGCGATTCTGTGATATGTGATTCCCTGAAAGCTGAAAGTTCAACTTGCTTTGACTTGTTTTGGCTTTTGAACCAGGAAACCAACGGCGAAGACAACGCCACGGCGCTTCACTATGCGGCACAGTGGGGGCGCGAGCAGACTGTGCCTGGGTTCGTTGTAACCTTAGTATTCGAACAGGGGTGCATAGTGAACAACAGGTTTTGTGGTTTAGTACCTTAGTTTGTAAGGTGCCATACTTGGAGACTATTCTAGTACTCTACATGTTTCCCTTGTTATGGCAACAGAAGCCAAGTTTCGCAACAAAATCCAGGTGAGGCTCTTAGTCAAGAGTCGCGCAGATCCGAAGGTGCAGGACGAGTGGGTGCAGTGTTTGGGTTTTAGGGCGGGATGAAGCCAGGTTGGATTGAGGGCAAGTAATTCAACCCACGCATGGAGCCCTTTGAATCCATAAAGCCTTAGCCCTAAACCCCTGAACACTAAACCTCAACCCCGCCTAAAACCGTAAACCCCTGAACCCTAAAGCCGCCCTGAACCCTAAACCCAGGCAGCTGAGTATGGCTATGTGGATGTTATTGCAGCTTTGCTGGAACTGAAGGCAGATGCCGGGGCACTGGATACTCGATTACCCAGTAGTACGCTTTTGCTGTTTTTTTGAGTTCTAAACCCTAAACCCTAAACCCTAGGGTTTCTTTTATTTGCTGTAAAGGGTCTCTATAGGGTACTGTGCAGGATCTATCAGGGTACGATAGTAACCGAATACGTAATAGGGAAAGGAGCGCCCTTATTCTTAAGGGTCTACTGGGGCACCTAGGATAGTGAAGGCAGAACTGCCTTTGATGTGGCACGAGTCGAGGGCATGGCAGAAGCCGCAGGTCTTT